AGTCTTGTTTTTGTGTATCTGTTGGAACCTTTGTTTTTCCTACCTCCAGACATCTTAAGAGGGAACTAAAATATGTATAGAAATGTTTTTTGTGATCAAAACTAAAGTGGGCTGAGGTGGGGATTATATGTGGGTGGCCATGGCAGACTTGAAGTTAAATAATGCCTTTCAATGTGTGCAGAGATTAAGGTGTGTGGATGCTTGTTTTATACTAGGTGTAAGCACACACATGCAAGGTCAAGGTCAAAGTCAATACACCAGGTAGCTTTTGAAAGGCAAGTCTATTTCAAATTGTGTAATTCCCTAATAATTTGCAAGTTTTAATTTCTCTCTTACAATTTTCTTCTTTTTTTTTCTTTTTTTTAAGACCTTTCCATCGAGAAGATGACCACAATGCTCGCTTAAGTAGTAGTGGTAGTAAAGGAAATGTCAAGAGATGTGCAGTTCATCAAAAGTGAACTGGCAGATGCCAGATTTACTCCAGTTGGTCACAGGGGACCAGCGCCAGGCACAACCCTTGAGATGACTCCCATTGACCTGCCTATCATGAATGAAGACAACTTCAGTGAGGTAGAATCATCACTGAAGAATGAATCAGTTTGTCAGAGCATGGTAATTTATTTGACAAACTGAACTGCCTGTACAGTATCATAGAAAAAAAAACATATACATAGGAAACAACTTTTCATATATCACAGCACAGTATAAGTTAAGGGTGGGAATCTCTGGGTACCTCACGATTCAATTCCTTCCTTACCTGCCTAGGGACTATGGGTGGAAATTTGCAAAGCATGCTAACACCTGGCTCAAGACATCTTTTCTTGTTCCTATAAGATTAATGTTTATTTGTGCATTGTCCCTGTTTTAAATAAATACATTTCTATTCTAATTCTATTCTATTCTGATTGAGAGGGCCACGATTCAATGATAAAATGATTCTTGATTAGGGTTGCCACCTTGGATTTGTGAAAAAAAGGGACACTCGACCAAATGTTTGAGGCGGAGGGCTCGGCCATTATTAACAGTTCAGACTGACCAATGAACATGAAATTCGGACATAGGAGACCAGATTTGCCATCATTCCATGTCCTTCTATGTGCCTGTATTTTATATTAATTTTTATATCAATGAAAAAACAAATCTGTGTTACTAAATTCTTACATTTTTACATGTATCTCACCATAGCAAGTTGGAAGTTGACATATTCTGCCATATATGAAAAGGGGAGACTCTCTGGAATCTGGTAATATACAGGGTACCCACGGATCCTTGAAAAGTCTTAAAGGGCCAGTGTGTAATATTTGGCATGGTTTATTGTCAATCTGAATCTGAATCTGAATATTCTACCCATTAATATGTTTATACAAGTGTATGATCGCTATAAAATAAAATTTGTTTGGTTTTCGTAGCCTTATAATTATGCTTTTACATATATATATATATATATATGGTAAGGGCCTTGCTTTAGAGAGATCGCCATCTTGCGCCGCCATGTGTGTACACCAGACCGAGTGGACAATCCAGCCAGCCAAAGAACACGTTTTGCGTGTATAAGTGAACCAACGAAGACAGCGGAAGGAAGGAAGAAGGAGGAGGAAACAGCAGAGTGTTAGTAGTTCGTCGATAGAGGGTGGTGAAAAGTTTTTTTAGTTATAAAGTTTGCGAATGGACCACACTTACCACGCAACAGGAGAGAATGAACCCGAACTGTCATCTGCGAGGAAAAGAAGACGCAACTTCACTGCTTGTGATGCACTCTCTGCGGCGCTTTTCCTCCTGGTGATATCTCCCCAACAATGGCAGCAGTAGCACCGAATCCCATTCTGTGCATTCAGCCTCTCTTCTCACCCGCTCAGCATCAAACGCATGGAGTTCCTCATCTGTGTGCTCCGACTCAAACAGGTATGGCTCTGGGTCTGTGTCCGCTACAAGAAACTCTTCAAAATCGCGGTCAAAGTCGTCCATTGCAGCTACTATAGTCCGGAGATATTGCTAGGCTAAATAAACAGCTGAGCTCTGTTTACCGGCTACGCTGTCAGTCAGTGTGCGGGCTGGAGACTGGTGGAGCAGAGAGGGGAGGGGGGTCCTCACTTAGTATCGTAAACGAGTATGTGTGTAAAGTTAGAAGTGTGTCTGTTACGCCAGAAGAGTCAGAGTTTGGGACGGAGTGGTGTGTTACCGGAGTTTCTGGAGTGCTCAAATAAACGGGCCTTTTTCCCGAACGCTCCTCTGGTCTCCTGCTCATGAGGGATTCATTACAATATCATAACATGGTTTAGATTTCTAAATAAACATTCACCTCGTGGCTAGATAGACCTACTCCTGAAAAACTCATGCGCAAGGCTTTTTGTCCCTACGAGGCCACTGTCATTTACCCGACGGGAGGGGTGAGCGAGTGAGCCCCGCAATCTAGAATTTGACCACTGATGTCACTGTTTCCAACGGTTTTCAACCCATTTTACACACTGGCCCTTTAAAAAGTCTTAAATTCATGTATCTAAAAGTAAGGCCTGAAAATGTCTTAAATTCATTAGAAATATCTTAAATTGGTCTTAAATTCATTACTCAAAGGTCTTAAAATTGTTGCGGAAGGAATATTTAATCTGACTTTCTTTCTTTTCTTTTTTTTATTCTCACGGCACTTTTCTGTGAGTATCCGTGCGCCGTCCAATAACGGTGCGTGCTGGCGGTAGCACATACACAATGGCGGAGGTCTGCGCTTTGCGCGCTCTGTGTGAAAAGGGCTTAACGGCGCACACTGGCCACCTGGCACTCAATATGCTGCTGTAGTGGTTTGTTTTCCGGACATGTGAGTATCTTTGAGTAGTAAAAAGTTATTATTTATGACTTTTTACTTGTCAGCAGTGATTTGTTTTCCACAGAGCTCTAGGTGCGAGCATTTTACTCGCATTTGCGACTAAAAATAGTTTTGTGCCTGCAAAATAAATCATTCAGCAAGTGCTGTGCAAGTACAGATTTCAACCAGCAGCAGAAACGAAAGGCGAATCCTGCTGGTTGTGGGTTGAACGGGGGTAACAGACAGGAATACGGTGGTCAAATAGCCTACGGCGGCTCTGCGGCGCAAAATAACAGCTTACTGGCGGTGACAGAGAAATCCGACCCCAGGTCCAGTAGCCTAATTTCCTCTTTTGTTGGCGTCATGACTGCCGTTCACATTTCTCTCTGTGGCAGGTAACGGCCCACAAACCTCACTGCACTTTAGGGACTGTTCTTATGAAGGGACTGTTCTTTACTTGTCAGGGGAGGAGGGTGGCTGGTTGATTTTTTATTTTATTTATTTATTTTATTTTGATCCCCCCTATGTTAATCACTTATTGATGCTGTTTTTGAAGTATGAATAAGTCAATAAGTAATTTATTCCACTGAAATATCATTGATGTATTATAGAAAAGTGATCTTTTTATAAATGACAAAAGGCACATCTGCCTCATTTTTGCTGTGGTATCATGATACTACTCAGAACTCAGATACTTTCACTGGTATCGTACTGTGGGTCCTAATTTTGGTACCATGACAACACTAGATGTCAGAACCATTCCATTTGGAGTTGCGCAGTGAAGCGGCTCGGGTGCCGCTTAAAAAAGTGTTCCCCCACTTCTAATTTTACAAATTAAGCACTGGTTATAGTACAGCGGGATCCCCCAACCATCGCTTATATTTATAGTTTTTTCGGTCTTAAATTCCATTCAAGGTGGCATTAAAAAGGTCTTAAAAAGTCTTAAATTTAACTTACTGAAACCTGCAGATACCCTG